AGCGTCCCCGGGGCACCCGGAGCGACGCCCCTGCTCAGGGGTCTGCGGCCTCAGCGTCCTTCGAGGTGCCGACAGGTGCACCCGTCGTGCCGAGCGTCCCTCGCTCCGCGCCCGCCCCGGGGAGGACCGTGGGGGGCGGTGGGACCACGCTGTCCCAGCCCTGAGCAACGTCCGGCTGTGCCCCATCCCAAAGACTCCTGCTGGTGCGGGGGGGGCGTTTGGAGAGTGATCTCCAAGATGGTCTGCTCTGGGGGATGCTCTCCAAGATGCTCTCCAGGATGCTCTGCTCTTGGGAGGGATGTTCTCTGGGATGCCCTCCTCTGGGAGATGCTCTCCAGGATGCTCTGCTCTTGGAGGGATTCTCTCCAGGGATGCTCTCCTCTTGGAAGGATGCTCTCCAGGACGCTCTGCTCTGGGGGATGCTCTCCAGGATGCTCTGCTCTTGGAGGGATGCTCTCTGGGATGCTCTGCTCTTGGAGGGATTCTCTCCAGGGATGCTCTCCTCTTGGAAGGATGCTCTCCAGGATGCTCTGCTCTGGGGGATGCTCTCCGAGATGCTCTGCTCTTGGCGGGATGCTCTGCTCCTGGAGGATGCTCTCCTCTTGGAGGGATGCTCTCTGGGATACTCTCCAGGATGCTCTGCTTTTGGAGGGATGCTCTCTGGGATGCTCTCCTCTGGGGAATGCTCTCCAGGATGCTCTGCTCTGGGGGATGCTCTCCGAGATGCTCTGCTCTTGGCGGGATGCTCTGCTCCTGGAGGATGCTCTCCTCTTGGAGGGATGCTCTCTGGGATACTCTCCAGGATGCTCTGCTTTTGGAGGGATGCTCTCTGGGATGCTCTCCTCTGGGGAATGCTCTCCAGGATGCTCTGCTCTGGAGAGATGCTCTCCTCTTGGAGGGATGCTCTCCAGGATGCTCTGCTCTGGGGGGATGCTCTCCAGGGATGCTCTCTAGGATGCTCTGCTCTTGGAAGGATGCTCTCTGGCCATGGTCTGCTCTGGGTGGATGCTCTGCTCTTGCAGGATGCTCTCCAGGATGCTCTGCTCTGGAGAGATGCTCTCCTCTTGGAGGGATGCTCTCTGGGATGTTCTCCTCTGGGGGATGCTCTCCAGGATGCTCTGCTCTGGAGAGATGCTCTCCTCTTCTGGGGGATGCGCTCCGAGATGCTCTGCTCTTGGCGGGATGCTCTGCTCCTGGAGGATGCTCTCCTCTTGGAGGGATGCTCTCTGGGATACTCTCCAGGATGCTCTGCTTTTGGAGGGATGCTCTCTGGGATGCTCTCCTCTGGGGAATGCTCTCCAGGATGCTCTGCTCTGGGGGGATGCTCTTTCCTCAGAGGAGTGGGAGGCGAGGGCAGCTGGGGACGCCCTTGCTCACACGGGCAGAGCTCTGTGGCTCCCTGAGGCCTTTCCTTTAGCTCCTGCTCACCCACAGCCCAGAAATGCGCCAGGGCTGGAGCAAGGCAACCTGCGTGCTCCTTGTAGGGGTCTGACGGCATGGAGTGCCCCCCCAGGAGTGTTTCTCCCTGGGAATGGGGATCCAGCCAGGGCGACACTTCCCTCTCCAGGGCTCGGCGCAAAAGCAGAGCCATTTCCCAGGAGATACGTCCCCATGCCGTGTCCCGGGCCCCGGCAGAGCCACCCTGGTGACACTCACCCGGGCAGCGGTAGAGCTTGCGGGCCTGGGCGATGTCCCCTTTGCTGAGCCGCGTCCGCTGGCCGATGGCGGGCCGGACCCCGTTCACGTCGTACTTGGGCAGGATGGTGTCGAGGAAAATGCCCCTTGGAGGGGGGAGAGCGGGGAGAGGCTGAGCTGGGAAAAACCCGGCTCCGCGGCCGCGCTGGCTCCGTGTCCGCGGGGGGAGGGATGCTAAAAACAGCAGCCTGGCTAATTAAAGCCTGTGGGGCGGTGAGTCAGCGGGGACGTGTCCCCGACGGGGGTGACCGCAGGGACGTGTCCCCGACGGAGGGGACGGCAGCATCCCTGCTCTGGCAAGGGATGCCGTGGGGTTTCATCCTGCTGGAGTTGGGGGCCTTACGCCAAGCCTCAGCCCGTGCAGAGCTGACGTGCCACTGTCCCCGGGGTGGGGGGACCCCGTGACAACATCCCCGGCCCCACAGCGGGGACAGGGACGTGCCATCCCGGCAGCGTACCTGGAGAAGGTGTTCCTGGCGTAGTGCATGATGCTGTCGAAATCGTACGTCTCGCCCAGCGACTCCACCTCCTCCGGCTCCATCTTCAAGAAGTTGTACTCCTGCCCTGCGGAGACGGGCGGGACGGGGACGCTGTCGGGGTGGCGGGGAGACCCCCGCTTAGGCAGCAGCCCATGGCGA